CATGTTAGATAGTTCTGACCATTGAATAGAGAGGTGGTGATTTTAAGACCAGGGTTGGGGTTATCAGTCATAGTAGTAGGTATAATATAACTCTCACTCTTAGGTGTTTGAAAAGTAGTGGACACACTGGTGGAATCTGCCATGGATACTCTACTACCTACCCCTCAACAAAACTAGGGCCAATCACAAACTCGAAAGGTGGTGGGGGAAAATAAGCACGGTGACCACGAAGAATATCAAAGAATTAAATTAAAAACTCATCAATATTTTATTTATTTATTTATTTTTATGTTAAACGTAATACATAAACAGGTCTTATATAGGTTTAGAAGTAAGACATAATCAGAGAGCGAAGAGACCAGGAACAAATGCCTTGGAGGGACTTCCGGCATGTTCAGAGACGACATGCGACCCTCAAACAGGCAGTCGAACAACACCCAACCAGCAAGGAGGCTGGTCGGCTAGAAGAAAGCCCTCGGCAGGACCTGGAGAAGGTTGCCGAGGGGAAGAGAAGAAGAAGAGGAGGCTTACGACGCTGGTGGTGAGTTGTAGGGAGGCTGTTGGCTTTGGTGGAGTGGTGTAGAGAGGCTGTCGGCTTGGCTGAGTGAGTTAAAGGGTGGTTTCGGGTGCTGGGGAGGCAAACAGCAACAATTGCGTGGGAAGGGTAGGGAAGAGAGAGCTAGGGCATTGCTCTGATACCATGTAAGTTTAAAGAAGAGAAAGAGTTAAGAAATGAGTGAGACCTCATTCCCTTTTATATTGATAATAATGTGTAATTACAGGAGTGTCTTTAGGCGTAAATTATGGGCCAACCCATTACACCAATTAGGAGAAATAAAATAAAATAAAAATATAACCAATATTATTTCCTATTTTAACATCAAAATCCTAATTTTGTGAATCATTAATTATTAAGATTCAACAAAATATAAAAAATAATGTTAAACACTCGTACATATGAAAACAAACAAGAAATAAATTGATTTTGGCACATGTTATAAAATAGTTATGTAAGGACAGTGGTGGACCCAAAAATCAATGTTAGCGGGGACCAAAGGATACACATGAGTCAATTGGTTCACTCAATACATAAATTAACGGGACCAACAATACACATGAATTGTTAACTTGATTCAATTTTAAATGAACCTGAATTGTTGGATTGGTAAAGAGTTAACCAGCCAGTGAGAATTTATCTTCTGCACTTTGCCAACATGTAGTTGCTCAATCTCATGTTTTCTTTATTTTATTTCTAGTTTAGCCTTTATACTTTTCCCATATCAAAAAATGGTCTCATTTTGAATTTTTTTATGAATAATAATATAACATATAAACAGAGTTTATAAATAATAATAAAAAAACATATGAAGTGATGGCTTATTTATATTCATTTATTAAAAATTAAAATAAAATACTTGGATCACCATCCTTTCTTACTATAATTTGTTTATTACCTTTTGTGTCAACATTGTATTAGTTTAATGGGTCTTACTACTCATATTTGTTACCAATGCAATGTTGACAAAACAAACATGAGATAAATAAAACATTATAAGAAAATATAGTCACTGTAGACTTGAAACTATAAGCTATATTGGTGGTTTTTTGCTTTAAATGAATAGGGTAAATTACAAATATGCCTTCTGAGGTTTGCTTAAAGTATAGATTGCCTCTTATGATTTAGAAAATTACGAATAGCCCTTTGTCAAAATTATTTATTTAATAGAAATAATTAAAAAAAAATGAAATTCATAATTGCTCTCCTATACAACAATAAAATTACTTAAATTATTAATTGAAACACGTTTCTAATATATTTAAAATTGTTAATTGATTTGATGATTTATTAATAAAAGGGGCGATTTGTTATGAAATTAGAAGCCTTAGGGTGTGGAATGTAATTTTCAGAACCACATGGAGGCGATTTGTATTTTAATTAAACCTCAGGGGGTGTATTTGTAATTTATTCAAATTAATAAAATCAAGGCCATATCATTTTGTATGAATTTTAAGTACAATTTTAGTCAATCTGTATATATCTTGCAAGAGTAATGCTACGTATAACGAAATAAATATTATGAAAAGTTTCATGAAACTAATCTAAAGTTAATTGCATAACATACAATAAGAACTACAAACTAATCCAAGGGTGGAGAATCTTCATGAAGGCTTTTCATGATATTTCTTTCATGATGCTTAGCATTTATTGATCTTGCAAGGTGCGAAGTGAGTTTTGTCCACCACCTCTTGAGGTGGCCAACTCTTGTTGGAGTGAGGGGGCCAGTTTTTCACTATACAAAGGGATGGAAGTCTGATATACAACAATATTACTCATAATTGTATGAAAACTTTGCAGGTTAGGAGGCGCAATGGCACCCTTCACCCATCCTTTCTGTCCACCACTGTATGAGGACATAATTAAACTGTTTAATTGGGAAGACATTGCCTTCATAGAAAGAGATGTGGGTCTAAATCCTACAAACCATTTAATTATTCAAAAATCATAATATAATTTTTCTTGACATTAAAAAAACGGACGCAGGAATCCTATATAGAGTACAAGAAGAAAGAATTAAATAGAATCCATTATTTTAAAACCTAAAACATTTAAAAATGTGTATGTGCTTATTGTAAAAAAAGGAAAGAAAAAAAAAAAAAAGTAGTAGAAACACTAGGTCCTACCGACTTGATTCGTGCAATATCGAACCATATTTATTTTACTAAAACAATAGATAATTTATGGGTGCGTGTGACTTTAACCTTAAACATCCTTATAACATGTATTATGACAATTTTTGAGAAAAAACATTAAGAACGTTGGGTTTGATTGGATTCCATAAAAATCCGTTGATCACCAAAATAACAACAAATCATGTGAAGGTATTGGTTATTTTAATACGAAATATTATTAGGAGTTGTATTATGTCATTGTACTAAACAAAAGGTAAAACGGGGTCAGAATCTATCGGACACGATAGTTTCTATATAATTACATGAATTGTGAAAGGTGAATGAAATTGTGATTTGATTGTGAATTGTGCGATTCACCATGGACTATAGATTCACCTATAAATTCATATCAATCTATATATGAATCACAAATCGTAAAATTTTGATAACAGAGCTCTTCACTATTACATCGACCAAAAGTAGTCTTTCGTTGCTTAATGAGCTATTCAGTTTAAAAGCTCATTTTCACTTCCATTTTTTCCTTATTATTTATTTCTATCCCAACCAATGGTTTTGCCTCACATATGCATTGGTAGCCCAAATGTATGGAGTGATATCTTTAAACTCCTGGAATGCTCTCTCTCTCTCTCTCTCTCTATATATATATATAGATATATATCCATGACTAAGCAAGTTGTAAAATACAAGTTTTAAGCTAGAATCTTGCCAAACAGAATTTGCTCTTGAATCTGGTTTTTACCCTTCTTTTGTAGTATTTTTATGTACTTACATGATATTTGCGTGATAGAGATGTGCAAACTTGAAGGGTTAAGATATGTCGAATAAAACAGAAGGAAAAATCCTAGGCAGTCGCATTAAGAAATTTTTGGCCTCCTCTTTTCATTAATGACATTACCTTTATGTTAGGGCAAGGGATTAATGAACAGGCCTATACATTTCTTTGCAGGAGTAGCATTTGAGGCATGAATCCATTATTTTTATATATTTCTGTAGATTTTTTGGTTAACAAGGTTGTTGATGGGAAAGGTTTAAAGAGAAGAACTTTATATTTTATTGAGGTGTATTGAGAGATCCATTTAAAAAATTAAGTAGAAGAGAATTGAGTATTATTTTGCTATCCTGGTATAGTTAAAAGGACGTGAGGTGACTGATGTAGAATAGCTTGAGGGAAGAGATGCAAATTCCGAGGATAATAGGGGTTTACATCAAGAATTGATATAACTTATCTTTTACTCTGGCTCTGGATAATTTAGGAAGCATATTTGGGAAGATGTCTTATATGTACATCATTAATAAAAATGCTTTACTAGACTAAACTGTAGCAGCACTAATTTGAATTAAGGTAATAGGAGATACTTCATAATTCTAAAGGTTTGAGGTTGAGTACGATTAGAATATCATAGTAGAAAGGAGGATAAATTGAAAATCATTAACCAAGAGATACTTGAAACTAACCACCATTGTTGTCATGTATTGATTATCTATGAAGAGGGCTCAATGATGAGGATCTTGTGCATACAAAAAGTTAAAGATCAAAGTGTTTGTGATCATCTGATACCTATTAATTGTGCCCATAAAAAAACTATCATGACTAAAAATTTATAGGATGGTGACAAGGCTAAAATGTGATACTGCATAAAGGCAATGTGATAAAATAATTTTTCCTACCAAAAAATATGATACAACGATCTTACTCTTTGAAAAGTCAATGGTGACATCAATTGTAGATAAGGTGACATCATTTGTAGCTAAGATGTGCAAAAATACTTGACAATACTAGTCAAGTAATGAGGATTAATGATTTATGAGTATTTTTGGGCTTCATCAGCACCTTCTTTTAAGGGGTTTCCTTTATTTATTTATTTATATTTCTAGTAATTGGATAGTTGTGTAATATATATTTTGTATATATATATTTTTAGCATGTTCTTGTTAGACTTTTTGTCTGCATTTTCTGTTTTGTGTCTCTGTTTTATTTCCTTTTTAATAAAATTTTGTGTCATTGATAAAAAAAAAAAAATGATGCAAGTTGAGGAAGGTAAAAAAGAGCTTGACGCAAAGAGAAAAGAAATGGTTGACAGACAGCCAACCCCATATATTTGTGATTAATTTTGGTTTTTTTCCTCTTGCCACTTGGGGTTGTTGGAAGGGGAAAAGGCGGGAATGGGGACTGGTGGAAGTTCTTTATGCATATGATAATATTTTTATCTGAACTTTCAGTGTAGTTCTTAATAGCTTCAACACTTGTAAGTACATGATGTGAGCTAGAATGATGAGCTGTTTTCTTTGCTTTTCTTTGCTTTATGTAGGGGCAACTTTGAGGTCCTTGATTTTCCACGTGATGATAGAATTTGTGAAGGATTTCTGGCTCATCCCTCAGTGAAGATGTCTAGCAAGGCCTATGAGTTTGCAAGACAGATTGTTGGAGTTTTGCAGTTCAGGGTACATGCTTATCGTGCTTTTTGGCCAGAGATCTTTCAGTCAGATTGTCCTGATGCGAACGATATTGCTCTCTATTTTTATCCTGGAAAGATCGAGAGGTTTGCTTCTTTTGGGCATCATTTTTAAAATATGTAGTGGATTATTTTGCCAACTTTAAGTTGTTGGTCTGGTTGTGTAGGTCAAGAAAGCAGTATGCTTTCCTGTTAAAATTTATCGAGAAGCATGATTTAATGTTGAGGAGTTGTATGGGTCGCATGGAGTTACTGGTCTTTCCATCGAAATTATTGCATGTGGATTGCCAGAGTGAGCTCTCTGACATTTCCAATTATTATTATTATTATTATTATTTCCATTACAATATTATTTTTGTTAATAAGAATTGAGATATACATATGGTTTCCTTCTTTGGAATAAAAATTGTGGATGACTCTAGAGTTAATGCTTAGGCTTTAGTATGGTTGATTATCACAGAAAGTGCAGTAAAGCAGAACCCCTTTCTCTAGCCAAGGCTTTGGTTAGTTGAAGCTGGCCTTCATTAAAAGTATTGATATCTATCAGGGGCAGCTGTGATTTTTTTTTTTTTTTAATAATATCTTTACGTAAGTCAGCTAAATTTTCCATTTTGAGCACCCCAGACCAGTACATCGAATACCAACTTGGCCCAGTTCAATATTGTTGAACACCCAGCCTAGTTTCCTAAACACCCAACCCGGCCCATAGCCCATTAACTCCTAAAAAGATAATAATAATAATAAGAGTTTTCTTTTTTCTTTTTTAATTATTATTAGCTTAAAAAACACATCAACGTTTCCGTTTGGATCGTGGTGTGAGAAAAGAAAAGAAACGAAATCATTATGGTCTCTCATCTAGGTGAGAAAAGAAAAGAAGTGATTCTCACTTCATGTTTGGATGGATAAGAAATCAAATCATGTGAGAGATGGGAATGAGTGAGGGGTTTTTTTTTCTTCATTTGTACTTTGAGGGACAATCTGGGTATTATAAATATTTTATAACTAATCAACTTGTTTCTCACCAAATGTCATCACTTTTGGTGAGAAATGAAAAAAACAAAATAAAAGACTTATTTTTCTCACTATTTCTCCCCATTTCTCTCAATTTCTCGCATACTTAACCATCCAAACAAGTGATAGAGTTTTCTTTTCTCACCAAAACTATCGATCCAAACAGACAAGTGTCCCTTAATTATAATTTGATGTTTAAGTTAATGTCGTAGCTAGTTGAAGTGTAATAACTATATAGGGTATAAGTGGGCAGGGGAACCTTTCTTGCCTAGATTTGTTTGATATTTTTATATATGAACTTATGATGTCAAGTGCTTTATATAAGATTTCTGGTAGTGATAAATGACATGCTGATTTCCTTGAATGTTACTACAGAATTAGGTGGAAGTTACTTTATGTGGGGGGTTTTTCGCCCTTTGAAGGGCAAGAAGACTATGCCGAAGACAGACTTCTCAAGGGATAGAGTAGTGCAAGATGAAGAGCAGAAAGATATACAATAGAGTAGTAAGTAGTCTACATTAATTGTACTTTCAAATGATCTGTATTTCTTTTGAGAAAGTAACAAATCATGTGAAAGGAGAGGGGCAGAGAGGAAACACTTGAACTGAGAAGGGCCTTGAAAGTAAGAGCTACCTATATAGCATTATATGTGAATCTGTTTTGACATTTATAGTTGAATGACAAAATATATAATGTTTGATGAACTTGTCTGTGGAAAAAATTGCATATAAATAATTTGGTAAGTTGTACTCTGGATTAGGTTGAATCACAAGTTGATTGCTAAAACCGCCCTTAAAAGTTGTGAACACATTTTATGGAAAGAAGAATTAAGAGGTTGGTAAATTACCATTACCATTACCTTCATTGTGAGGCAACAATGTAGGACTTTTAGGATTGAGAGTCTTCTTCTGTCTTGTGGGGAGGTTCATCACTGATGCCCATGCCCTTAAGCAAACCTATGATTTTAATACTGATTGGTAATTGGTGGTGGTGAATGACCTTTTCCTTTGTTGGAACCAAGTTTGTGGGAGTTAGGAGAACCTGATGTCTACTCTCGTTTGGATTTTACTGGGTAATGATATGCCTAAATCCACTAAATAGGGTATGAGAATCGAATAAAAACCAGTTGGAATTTTGCAAAGTAAGTTTATTTGGAAGTTAAAAATATGGATTTTCAGTGATTTTGCACTTGCAGGAGTTCTTTTTTTTTTTCATCCCTCAAAAATCTTTTGGATAGGTTGAGGTAGTAATTGCTTTTCTTGTTTATATATAGTCGACACATTACAATTTCTGTCTTAATTCTTAAGAACAGTTACATTCATGAAAAATCCTAAAGCGGCCTTCAAATTGTGTCTTTATCAACATCATAAACGTGTGTACAATATATTTATTTCATCAATTTGATGTGTGGTAGATGATAAATGTGTGACCCTCACTTGTATATCATTATTGCAACTTGAATTATTGAATGAATTTGCATGCATGTGGGTTTAATTTTGCTCATATCTGTTTGTCTATGAAATATCTATTTGAATGCCTATTTTGAATGAGAAATTGAGAGTCTTAATGGATTCAGAAATAGAAATTGACTAGTTCAATAGGCTAATTAGAATATTTAAAACCATATGCGAGGTTTGATTAAAATTTGATTCAGATCAAGTTAATTAGAATTAAATCATTATAATTGATTAAAATCAATTAGGACTAACTTGATTAATTAGTCTAACTTAATCTAACCTATATATATGTTATAAGTTTAAGGAATGGATTCATAAAATCATATTTTTACCGAGATTTAGAGAGAGGGAAGAACAACTTCAATTTTGAGAGGGAACTTGGAGAATTGTGTAGGAAGGAGAATTGAAGAGAATTGTGTTAGAATTCATCAATTAAAGTTTAAGGTATCTATTTGATCCTTAGTTCTTGTAGACAATCCAAATGAGAACTAAATTCATGAAGTAATTTGAGTAAATTCCATGTTATTGCTAAGAAGACAATAGAATCAACTTGAATATGGTGAGAGTGAGTTAATTATGGATATTCATGCATCAATTCATCATTTTTTAGTTTGGTTTTCAAAATCCTTTCATGCATGAACTTCATACTAGTTGATTTTGAGAATTCTTCATGATTTTACACTCACTATTTCAAATGATGGTAATTTGAAAGAACATAATTGGAATCTTTATATGCATGGCAAACTTATGAAGTTTTGGGTTTTGTTTTGACAATTGAAAGAGGTTTTGCGTCTATGGTTTGAAGATGATCAAGTATTCAATATTTGGAAAGTGTTTTTACATGTTATACTAGCCACGCACCTTTTGGGCTTAAAACTTATTTGGGACTTGAATTCTATTATGGAAATTCCAGAATTCGACCACTACGCTTGAGCGACGAAGTCGTCACTCAAGCGCACTTTACATGCATGAAGTATTTTTGTAGAACACAACACAATCGCTCGAGCAACCAACAGTTGGCACAAGCGACCTCAGTTCATTTTGCATAATTGGCTTGAGCGAGCGTCGAGCCTTGTCATAACCCAAATAAGCCCTTCTAGGTTTAGTGCAGTAACCAGCCAGTAATCCTGAGATTACCAAAGGCCTTTGAACAAATTAAACAAAATACAGGGGCTAGTGGAAGCAAATACAAACATACAAGGTCCATAGATCTGTGGAGACATACATGTGATAGAAAATTTAAAACTTATGTTTACATAATTAAGATGTCATACCCACGTCACCATTCAAACATACAGACAAACAAAAGGCTTGTTCAAACTTAACAAAAGAAATACAAAAAGATCTTTAACATGATTCACAAAAACTTGACCACTGCAGAAATGGGAACCTCCTCGGAAGGCACCATGGCTAGCTGACAGAACGAAACCCCAGGCCATTAACTCTGAGTCTGGTCATGTGCCTGGTCACTCACATACATACATAGTAATACGGTGAGCTAGAGTTCAGTGAATAACAACAGAGTAAAGGATTTATGAATGATACCCAAATAGTTTTAAAAATCAGAGTTCATATCAGAAACAGATTTAGATTCATATGAGTATTTAGAAGTCATAAGCAGTTATATGTGCTACATCCATTAGTTATCATATCATTTTGGTCCTAGGACCCATATACATAGTCGGTACTGACGACCCCAAAGGACCATATCTTGTGCACAAGTAGCCATGGTATTGTTTCCTCCTGGCAAGGGCCATGAATAAACCATGGTATTGTTTTTCCCGAGTAAGGGCCATGTATAAACCACGACATTGTTTCCCTAGGGTAAGGGCCATATGATCATGAGCTGCGGTATTGTTTTCCCTGGGCAAGGGTCATATAAACTAAGGATGCCACAAATACATTTCATAAAACTGGACATTCATTCATGATTCATAAAATAGCATTTTATAGAACCAATCATATCTTATCATTCTAAAAATACTTATAATCAAATATAGCTTTACAAAGTTGTTTCTCATAGATAGCTCCGATAGTAGAATAGACAGAGCAGATAGATTGGATAGTCTATGGCTCATGACCTACACAAACATATAATAAATGCATATTGAAACACACGTTTGAAAAACACTTAACTCATTTCTTTTCTATCTTGGTGTCAAAATGTACTTCAGAACACTTAGCCAAATTTTAAAAAACAGGGCAGTCCACTCAAGCGCAACATCGGTTGCTCGAGCGGTCTGCAAAGTCTGCAAAAGTACTAGTTGCATGATTTCTCTGCTCAACAGATGCTTGAGCCAAAGACTGAGTAAATAGGGTCTCTGCTCGAGCGCAACTTCGGTCGCTCGAGCGGTTTGTAAAACTGTGCAAAAGTGTTGGGAGCTCGCATTCTCCGCTCGAGCGCAGACTTCCCCGCTCAAGTGGAGGGTGCAAATTCTGGAATTTCCAAATTTGCTTCCCAAGTTCAAAACCCAATTTCAAAGCTTCAAAATACATGCTTTTGGGCCAAAACTTGGTAAAACATTAAGAAACTCATAGTATATGATTACAAACCAATTCACAAAATTAAGCCCAAAAGTTTTGCCAATTGTACAAAGCAAAACTTAAAACTTTCAAAACATAACATGCACCTATTTTCTTGAGTTCAAACTTTCCAAATCTTCGTGGAATAAGATGTTTAGTACAAAAAGAGTTGAATTCTCATAACAAGACCAAAATATGAACATGCATTTAGGAAAACTTTGAAATCAACTTCCAAAACTTTATGATATGCACATGCATGCATGGTTTGATCCCAATTCTACTTATTTAGCTTAATTCACAAGTTTATCTACTTAATTCTCTTGTAGCCATGAATCTACCAACTCATTTGCAAGACTAAGGCTTGAATTCTTACCTTAGGTGTTCAATGTGGTCTAATTGCTAAGTTGGTTGAGCATGCAAGTCAAATTCTTCCAATTCTTCTTCCTCTACCTTGGTTTCAAGCTCTACCACTTGATCTCCCTCCCTCTCTCTCTCTCTCTCTCTCACTCACACACACACACACACACACACACACACTCACACACACACACACATTTTTGAGTAAAAAAGATGAGGAATGAAAGTGTAAATAATGGCCTTAAGTTAACAAGTTTCCTTATATAGGCATGATTAAGAAGTTTAATTAATGACTAATTAATTGGCATTATTTATTCTAAATATTTGGTTCCGAATCGAATTCTAATTAAATTTACCATAATGTTCTAAAAATTCTAAATAACACATAATCTCAGTCAATTTCTTGATTAGATGCCGATAAGGACTACAATGCTCATAATGAAACAGAAACACATACATATCTTTCTACGACAGACAAATATAAATGCAAATAACATATAACACATGCAATTAACGTAGAATTTCATCTTAATTACTTATTAGGCCTTCTTAATCAAAGATGATAAGCTAATCATAGGTCGGGGTTGTTACAGTCTCCCCCCCTTAAAGAGTTTGGTTCTCCAAACTCAAATTACTTTCATTTTGGAAGAACACTGGATCTAGGGGAAACAGATCAGGGTATCTCTTCATCATATCTTCTTCTGTCCCATGTTGCATAGGTTCCTCCATGATTCTGCCAATCAACTTTCACCAATAGAATTTCCTTGTTCCTCAATCTTTTGATTCTTCGATTATCAAGTTGGATTCGTCATTCTTCATAGGTACAATCATCTTTCAGTAGCACGTGCATCGGTTCAATCACATGTAATGGATCTCTCAAATAATCCAGGAACATTGAAATATGAAAGACATTATGCATTTGCTCCATAATCGGCGGTAAGGCCACTCGGTATGTTACTGAATTGATTTTCTCTAGAATCTCATACAGACCAATGTATCTCAGAGCCAACTTTCCTTTCACCTCAAATCGCGTTTCCCCTTGCATAGGAGTTACTTTGATAAACACATGATTCCCAACTTCATATTCTCTGTCTCTTCTTTGGACATCCACATAACTCTTTTGGCGACTTTGTGCAGTTTTCAATCTTTGTTGAATCAATTTCATGTTTTCAGTCATTTCTTGCACAAGTTCCGGCCCAACAAAGGTCTATCACCTACCTCGGCCCAACTGATTGGAGAATGGCATTTTCTACCAAACAAAGCTTCATAAGGAGCCATATCGATACTCGAATGAAAATTGTTGTTGTACACAAATTTAGCCAATGGCAAGTAGGTCTCCCAATTTCCTTGGAAATCTAACACACACA